TGATTCCAAGTCAAAACATCAGGTGCCCCAATGTTTCTATAAAAGGACTCTTTCCGCCGATTACAAGCTTATAAATCCAAGTGTCTAGTTTATTTAATTGATAATGATAATTAACCATAACAGATCAACAAATCCTAGGAGGGAAGCTTCATATTCTTTTTAATTCTTCAGTTATGTTCTTATACCGTCAGCAGGTTAGAAGAAGTTTGTCGATGATTTTACTGGCAACGTCTAGTTCGAAATTTTTAACTTTGTTGTTCCATATCTATTTTATGTGTTCTAATTAAACTTTATTTAAAAACAAAATGAATATTATTGCCCCTATTTCTCCTCTCTTCCTTTTTTATGTTGTTGTTGCTTATTTGCTTTACGTGCTCAAGATTAATTGTTCAAAATAAATTTCAGAAGAAATTTGACTGAGAAGTACTTTCACATGTCCCATCGAGATTTATATTTCGAATGTTCTAGTTCCACCTTTTGTTCGTGCAATTTTATTATTTATCATGCCAGTCTTTTACTTTTTTTTTCATAGTGTTTGTCGCAAGACATTTGTGCAAAGCACGAACATAGAGATGAGTAATTTTAATTGTGTGTATATATGTACATATATATATATATATGTGCGTATGTGTGTGTGTGTATATATATGTAGGTTAGTATCCACTTTTTCTTATTCCTTAAATGCCCCTGTNCAGATGTTAAGGATATTTTGGGTAAATAAAAGGTGAGTACTACAGTCATGTATACATATACATATTGGCTGACCTACTAAATCATCAAAAGAATTAGATTTCATTACTAACTTAAATACTAGGGTATTGACCTTGATCTACTAATCTTCCTAGTAATTTCAGAGACCTTGTTTCCCCTCTCTGCTCTTTAATATGGAATACTTAATTGTTTATACCCCAAATCCATAAATTTTTAGCATATCACCAAATGGGCAGTACTGATTTCTTAGTAGGTTGACATACTCTATCTAGTATGTTTTGCGAGTTATTGATCTCTTAAAATTAAGAAAAAGCTTTTCCGAATTACATCTCTTTTATACCTAATCAATCAAACTAAACCTCAATCCTAACTGGGGTCGGGCGTATCAATCCTCTGCATCCAATCCGTTATATTGAAACACGTTTCATCCTAATACTACTCATATTCCTAATAACTTTTCTTTTTCTGGAAGTAGATTCCTATAGGTATTAGTAAGAGAAATATGTATAAGCTCTCATATTCCAGTGGCAATCCTAGAAGATATATTACATTATATGCATTTATTGATAGTAAATTACTATGATAAATGAATGTCTTTATTTTTAAAACCCCATTCAAAATCAGATCGTGAAATTCAATTTGAAATAATCAAAGTAACATGTTAATTTATGATTTTATTACTGAAGATTTTGATCATTAGAGATCAAAAGGTACATTGTTAATATGGGAATTCTACACTGAAGCAGTTATATCTTTTAAACTTGACATGCGTTTGTGTCTTATGCAGTGAGTGATTGTGGAGCTTCAGTTATGTTGCATCTTTTTGGTTCTTTTTGGTTGCGTGAACTGCTTGGGACTTTATTCTCTTCTATATTCGTTAGATAGCCATATAAGATTGTGTTAGCTTTTTAGCTATGATGATTATAGGTACCAGTGAGGAAAGGTAATAGCTAAAATCGTTTTCATATTTGTAACAAAGCATTACATCATCTTGAAACAAGTGATTTGTCAGCAACTTTTCTATGTCACTGTAATGAATGAACTCACTGAAATATGTTTGTTCTATGGCATTGAAGATATCTTTTGGGCCTATTAGCTGGCTTATGGTATCAGAAATATTCCCACTCCGCACCAGAGGGAAGGGGATAAGTCTAGCTGTTCTCACGAATTTTGGTTCTAATGCAATCGTAACCTTTGCTTTCTCACCTCTGAAGGTAAGAATTGTTCTCCTGCAAATATTAATTCCAGAATAACATGTGTTGGATGATTATGGTTTCCACTTCTGTAGGAGTTTCTTGGGGCAGAAAATCTTTTCCTTCTGTTTGGAGCGATTGCTTTGTTGTCACTTCTGTTTGTGGTCACCTCTGTTCCAGAGACTAAAGGCTTGAGCTTGGAAGAAATTGAGTCCAAAATCTTGAAATGAAAACATAGTTTTGTATCCTGGAGCATACAAATAGAATATTACCTGTTCGTTAATATTGTATCAATTCTATCAGAATACATACTTTATGGTTGTTCTATAAATTATAAACTGGGATGATTTCTATGGTGGTGGTTAGGGGTGTACATAGGTCTGGTTGGTTCGGATTTTGCAATTACCAAATCAAACCAATTGTGTCGGATTATTAAATCTAAAGACCAAACCAAACCAATAAAACTCGGGTTTTTCACACTCGGTTTTTCTCGGGTTTTTGTTTTTTTCGGGTTTTTTTCCGGTAAAATTTTCGTAGAACAAAACATATAAATTGTGCTCAAAATATTTCTTTAATCCTAGTAAGATACAACTATATAAAGTATTTTCCAAGAAAATAATACAAAATATGAGATGTGTCATGGCATTATCCTAAAATATTCAACAATAAAGACAATAAAATTATGTAATATAAATATTGCTAATTAAAAAGCCACAATAAAAGTAAACATTAGCTAAAAGTACTAAGTCGTGATGAAATAAGTAGACTAATAAGGGAGTATTAATTACGATGACTAAACGTTAAAGAAAAAATAAAAATAGGTTATGCATTTTTATCTAAATTATCGCAAAACAAAATATAGATATTCAATACATTCCCGTTCATAGTATTGAATTGAATGTCTTTTGTTAGCATTAGTATTGATTTAATTTTGGTTTAGGCTTTTGTTAGCATTATTTAGTTTAGTAATGTTAATGGCTATTAAACTTATTCGAACATTCAAAAGTTCTGAGTCCAACCTTGAAATAATACCTTAAAAGATAAAATTATGAAATTTTTTAAGAAATATTTATAAATTACATTACAATAAGTATATTTATATATTAAATATATCTAAAATTTCTATATATGTAATGTCGAGTTGGTTTGGTTTCGGTTTGACTTTCTTTAGTTAAAACCAAAACAAACCAATTATGGTCGGGTTTTTTTTATAAACACCAAACTAAATCAAACCAAATCATAGTAGGGTTTTTTTTTCCGGTTTGACTTGAATTATCGGGTTGGTATGGTTTGTCGGTTTACTTTGTATACTCCTAGTTGTGGTATTGGCTTGGCTGGCTGGATCAGCGAGAGGAACTTTTAGAGTTCCTGGCATTGAACTCATGATACTATTAAAATTGTAGATTCAAATTTAATTTGTTGAAATTTTAATTGTTTTTCACATATATGTCTATGCTTTGTGTCTATAATATTGGGTTCAGTTGAACCCATATTTAGCAGCTTATAATTATCATGCATTTCCACCATTTGATACAATCCATACCTGTACATTCCGAGTTTCTAGTAGAATTACACAAACATCTGGCACTAGTCACAGGTAAGACCAAATGAGGCATTTAACGCCTAGAAAATAGGGAAAATTTCACATTAGAATAATTGGGGTCCCTGCTTTTCAATTTTATAGCCCATGTTTAAATTTATAATCAACAAGCCAAAAAATAATAGGTTAAGATTCAACATCCAACTCCGATAGGTTCTCAAAATTACTATTTAATTTTTAAAAAAAGATTCCTCATGCTTTTAAGTTAATTTTCGAATCAGTAACTATGACTCAAATATTAGTTCAACAAATCAAATTCATTTGGGTGATGAAAATTAGATTTTTAACAACTTTAAATATGTGGGTTTAAATTTCGAATTTGATTTTGTGAGAAATTTGGAGTGGGTGTTATTTAGACTTATTAGAAATAGCATAAGGAGGTTGTATATAAAATTTGAAGTCATTTAATGGAGATTTGGATTGGTTTTGAACAAGAATTGCAACTGAAAATCGTGGAAGAAGTTCGCCTACAAACGCTTGTATAAAGGTGTATAAAAGTGTATAATAGTGTATAAGGTGTGTTTCTACACTCATATACACTATTATACAAGATTATACATAGTTATACAAAAAACTGACTTCCTCTTCTTCCTTGCGTCTTTTCTGAAATTTAACTTAAATCTTGCTCAAATCTACTCCAAATCATTTCAAATTTAAATTTTGAACTCTTTTTGATATTTTCAATCAATTGAAACAACACCCAATCCAAACAATTAACAAATTCAAAAAAACTCATTTTCGAAAGCAAAGCTTTAAATGGTCTTCAGTAGTGGACTTCTACTCTTCAATTTTCTTACATTGCAATCAGGTGACACAAGAGGAGAAGCAGAAAATACACGGACCCTTGAAGCATATGTAGAAGATGTGAGAAGAAGAGAGAGTGAAAGCAACGGTTGTGAGAACATAGATTTAACTCCATAGCTTTTAGAAACAATGGTTGTAAGAACACATATTTTAAATTTGCTGGTGCTTTCAAAATATGTACAATGTGGGCTAGGTCGCGTAAAGCTTAAAAACATGGGCCATTTTTTGTTATGTTGTGAAGTCATATGTATTTTCTTGTAATTCTTTCTAGAAAATACTTACCCGCACATGGTGTTTACACTATATTATGCGATTTCACATGAAGAGGTGAACATTGAAGTGATAATATATACACCTAAACTTGGTTAAGTGAGAAATGTGCGTCTATTAGACAAATGGGTTGGTTCATCAGTTGGTGTAAACATTGAGGTGGGATAATTTTTTTTCATCTTAATATCAGGGTTATACCTAGAGTCAAACAAATAATAGTTCAGTTTACTATCTACTCCGGCAAAAATTGTTTTCACTAATTTAATAGGACATATTGGTTTAGCTACCTCCCAGTGAGGCAAATGAGAAGAACTCTGTCATTTCGTTTTAGTAAAATATTGGGAATATCCAATCACAATAGTTCCATTTGATTTGTATCGTGTTCAGAATTCCCAATTCATTGTGGAAACCATCTGATCAAATTCTAGACAAGAATCCTATATTTCTAGACTAAAAGAACTCAAACAACAGTAGTAATAACTATGCCTCAATCCAAAACAAGTTGAGGCTAGCTATATGAATCCTTACTTCGCTCCATTTGATGCCAGCCTAGGCGAGCACGACCCTACAATATCTATGTTGTGAGAACTCATATATTAACTAGTTTTATGCTGGTTGTCAACTTACCGCAACCCTCCCGTTTTATCCGGGCTTGAGACCGGCAATTTGAGCAAGCTCACACCTAAAAGAACTCTAAGTCAAGATAATTACCGCCAGAATTCACATCTGGTCCTGGCATTCTTTTACTGCAAACTCCAACAGGGTTCACTTCCTGATCAAAAACTCCAACTGGGTTCACTTGCTTAAACCTCCATGGAAGCTCTGCTTCAACTTGTCTTGGCACTTCAGGTGGCGTACTGCAACGAATCAGGGCCCAATTAACACCTTCAAAGAAAGGGTGCTGCTTGATCTCACTTGCTCCTCTTTTCACCCCAAGCCGGCGTTGAGGCTCTTTGACGAGCAAGCCACGTATCAGATCGCGGCTGGCATAACTGGTTGCAGGAGAATCAGGAAATTTAAGCTGTTGCCCAACTACATTGAAAAGAGTTGCCCTGTTGCCTGATCCCTTAAATGGGGTCTTACCATAAAGTAATTCATGCAGAAAAATGCCAAACGTCCACCAATCAACAGCACTGCCATGGCCTTCTCCCTTGATAATTTCAGGGGCCAAGTATTCATGTGTCCCAACAAATGACATTGACCGTGCTGCAGTAGGTTCTGCAACTAGCTCAGGCATGGCATTAGCAGGAAAACCAGGCTCGGTTCTGGGCTTTTGTGACCTTTTCTTGCTTTTTGAAGGAAATAATCGGGGGAGGAAACATGTCGGCTGAATGCATGAAGAAGTGGGCTCAATACAGGCTGGCTGCACACAGAATGCAGCTCCTCGTTTAGAGGGATCACCAGATGAGGCCCTTATGACTGTCGGTGAAACTGTACATTTTAGGGATAGGTCAAAATCCGAAAGCATGATGTGGCCATCGTCACGCACTAGAATATTTTCAGGCTTTAAGTCTCTGTAAACTACACCAAGCATGTGAAGATATTCGAGGGCCAATAGAACTTCCGCAGCATAAAACCTGTTGCATAAACAGGGTTAATTCAAGCTTCACTAAGGAACTCAAAAACTCAAGATAAACAAAAGGGTTAAGATTCTCCAAAGCCCCAGAGGAAACCCAAAAAACAGAAGAAGAGGAAAAGACAGCTAGCATAAAATATCTCCTAATCATATTACTGGATCAAGCCATCCTACCCATACAACAAGAGTAGCTATGTATCTATCGGAAACTAGTTAGAGTCGACTATTCGATTCCTTAATATTCATTTTACTCCATTTGGAGCCATTCCATTCCAATACTCACTAATTAGGAGTTTTCTAACAGCAGAGGTTCTCTACATTTTGAGATATAAATTCTGACTAAACTAAAAAGCTCCAGGCAAACCCAAGGGAAATGTAAGTGTACTAACAATCCCAACTTGTTCGTGAAATTAGACCATATATCATATGTGTGTGTCATTCGTGTGTATGGGGCATGCTATTCTTTGTTTATTCGTGCAATTTCATATCCTGCCCATCTAATACGTAATTAATTATCCTCCTGTTCTGCTCAGTAACCAGTGACAGGGAAAAGGCAAATGAAAAACAACTATATGTTCCTGTCAGGATCAAAACAATATGGTGCCACAAATTGCAAATATGGATCTAGTGGAAGAACTTGTTCAATATCAAAATCCTGAGATAATAAACATCTAACTTAGTCCAAGTTGGCATTTGCATGAGAGAACCATAGCAATAACAACAAACCCAATGTAGTCCCACAAGTGGGGTCTGGTGAGGGTAGAGTGTACGCAGACTTTACCTCTGCCTTTATAAAGGCAAATAAGCTGTTTCCGGTAGATCCTCGGCTCAGGGAAAAAAGGGAAGGAGCAATAATAAGTCAACCAATCTGACAACCGAAGCGAATATACAAACTTAACACTAAGTAATGCAAACAGAAAAACCGAAACCAGACAGCAACAAGTAATAACAGCAATCTAGGGATGAGAAAACCTTAGCCTGAGTTCATTTTCCATGGAAGGAAGAAAGGGTTGAATCAAATGTGGCATTCTATGTCGGCATATATGAGATATTATTCAGTAAGGCTACAGTTTTTATGGGCATAACTAGAAACTGATCTGCAAAATGCTAACAACTCACCTCAGTGTATGAGTAACAGAAGCATATCTACTGGTCAAGCACCAGTACCAAATTAACATAACAGTTTAGTACCCATATTGCTGAACAGTTTTCTCGTATTTGGTACTATTTCTGTATTGTTAACAAAAATAACATTTGGATGAAAACTAAGAACCAGAATACACAGGGAAGAGGACTTATTAAGAGAGCAAGACGGCGTGAACTGTGAACAAACACGGGCCTTTAGAAGCATGATACCACCAGTTCATAAAATCTCTATTTTTCTCTAAATGAGTATGTTGTTTAAAGATCTTAATATTATGAGCATTCGCCAAATGACGCTGAAATAGAATTTGGGTAATAATCATTAAGACTGGTCTACTTCCTCCACCAGTACTACTAAACAATTAGAGAAGCAAAATGTCAAGAAAGTCCTTTTCCAATAAAGCACGCATACCGCCAAACATAAGGAGTTTAATTAGAGAAAAGAGTGAAGAAATTAACCAGTAAGACGAATAACTAATTGCAGAGTGCTAACATTTACCAAGCTCTGATTCAAGAGAAATGGACTTTATACCATACAAGAACTGTACCTTGCAGCATATTCTGAAAAATGCTTCCCAGGTTGTCGTTGTCGTAGAGTATGTAGATCTCCTCCAGGGCAATATTCCATGACCAAACATGAAAATCGGTCAGTCTCAAAATGAGTATACAAGGTTGGTAAGAATGGGTGGTCTAACAGCTGAAGGATTTCTCTTTCTGTCTGAGAACGGGTCAATTTCTTCCTACTTTCAAGCAATGCCTTATCCATCACTTTCATCGCAAAATAGCACCAAGTCCCACTGAGTTCAGAAAGATAAACAGTGCCAATGTCACCACAACCAAGTCTTTTCAGTATCCTAAAGTGACTCATGCCTAATATACCATCACGTGCTCGTATTGCAAGAACAGCCTTGCATCTCGGATCATTTCCTTTGTGAGGCTTATTGGCACTGCCAGTAATGTTACTCCAGTTACTATCATCACTAAGTTCAGTGCTATCACTTGCTCTGCTAAAGCTAGTTTTAGCACTTCCTAACGAATCCCCCTGAATACTCAGTTTTGTACCCTCACAGTTCTTGTCCATACTAACCATGCCATCACTCCTATATGTGCTTGTGCAGCTGTTGGCAGTGCTCATAGCTGTGCCAACACCAGTACTTTCAATGCTACTATATGGACTGACATTACTGCTCGAGGGTAGTGATGCATCCCAAACACATTCTTTTTCTTCAGAATCAGGTGGTAGACTTGCTTCTGTGTTTTGAGATGAACGAGGAACCATAAATGCAGAGGAGACTGCACCTAGATCATTTGGCTTTTCAACCCATCTCTCTGCCGGTAAATGAAGAAACGAAGTTGGTTTCATGTTAAGAAACTGGATTGAAAGATCATCTGCGGAAGGACCCTTCAGAGACATGCTTTTCACTAAGCATTTACCATCTGTTTCATTCGGACCAATTGGTACATAAACTGGTCTCATTAGGTCAGTATCAACAGGTTCTGGAGGATGACTTGCTCCGTGAAATGAAGTAAAGCCACTATCTTCGAGCGAATCATCACATCGCTTGATTGAACCAGCGTTAAGCATAAGTTCCTCATGCTCTAGATAGAAGTTGTCTCCTTTGCATGTTTGAAGAGGAACAGTGAAGTTCATTTCTAGGAAGTCATGGGCATTTGATATAGTTCCCACCTCTTTTTGGGAAGTTGAGTAAATATTTGTCACCTTAGCCTCACTAGGGTAATCTGCTCGTAGTTTTTCTGCTTCAGGTATCCTTTTCATTTCTGATTGCTATTTATCATCACAAGTATCTCACTATGAGAAACTCTGTGGAACTGCAAAAATCAGTAAGAGTTGATCCATACATGAGTAACAACGCAAATAAAATCCAGTAGGATTGTTTCCTATTAGAAGTATTTTAAAAAATTGTATCTTTTTAAGCAGTCATTGAAAGAAACAGCACATTGTATACTGTGAGAGAGTAATTTCACTAAAAGAAGGGAATTCCATATTCATCCAATATGAGCACACAGAAATATCACACACATTTTGCAGGTTCTTCATATTTCAGTTATCAGTGCTTAGTTGCAATATCTGATTAAGTAATTTAACAGCCAAAAGAAAAAGAAGATTGAAGGGTGAGGCATACTGTTGCAGACCCAAAATCATAAAAAGAATGTTGCTTTGTTTTAACTTCTTACGAGATTATTCACATTACTCAACATGATATCAGAGCGGACAGTTCTTAGAATCAATTCTCACTGTATCTACCAACAAGATAAAAATCAGAATTGCACATGAAGGGAATTGTTGCAAACTTAAAATAACTAAAAGGAAGTTTTCCTACTAACTTATAGACGAGGTATTCACATGAATCAACACATTACTTCTTTCATATTCCTTCCCCTTCTTTTCATTCATCGGTATTCAGGTTTAGAAAGGAAGGAAAAAAAAAAAGCAAAGACATTGTGCTTGTTTGGATGGTTGTTACCCATTGTATCGTATCATATTGTTACTTTAAATAAAATATTTGTTTTGATTGTTATTTTAATTATATTGTATTGTGTCGTTAAATCCGTCGTTACATAACGACGAAATGTGCCACTTTATGTAACGACCGATTTGGTGTGGTCGCATCGTTACCTTGTCTTTTTCTCTCAATCTCACCCTTTATTATTATTAAATTATTTTATTTTATCATTTACCCTACCTTTTTATATAGTAATTTTATCTATATATCATAATTTTTCTTTATAATATTGCAAGTTTATTCTTCATATTGCTGGTACGTGATATCATGAAACAATGACAAACGACACAATCTATTCAAACATTGTATTTATCAAACGATACAATACAATGCAATACAGTACGATACGATACATTATGAAACAATGCGTAACAACCATCCAAACAAGCAAACAATGCGTAACAACCATCCAAACAAGCTGTAACACACAAACACAAAACATCTCACCTGCAGAATCACTTAATTAATCTTCACAAAATTTCGACAGTTCCAGAAGGGGAGCGTTGGCGCAAGGATAAAAGTGCCGTGTGGTCACGTGTTCAAGCAGCACAAATAACCACTGGTAGAAATACGAGGTATGTGGTCCGATCGTTCTCTGAACCGCGCACGTCACACTGGGCTGCCCATTAAATTTAGACAGTTACAGGGACTACAGAATGGGATAATAATACTCAAGAAGCTGCAGGGATTAAGCAACTGGACAAAAAATGGCCAAAAACCTCTAACCTTACATTCTATTTTCTGAAGTCATTGACATAAAATATACTGTACTAGCTTGAATAGACAGGAATTACTTGGATTGTACGCAAATCTTAGAACCCAAATTCAAAAAAGCAATTAACAAATCGGTGCCAGAAAAAGTTTTTTTTAATAAAAAAAGTACGGCAAGAGAATCAAATTGAAACCAACAAAAAGGAAAAAGAATGAAAAAATAATCAAAGAAGCAGAATGTACCACTAGTAGTAGCACAATCTAAAAATTTTCCTCTTCGTTTCTCTCTCACCCAGACACAAAGTGGGTATTGGGCAGTAAATATATTGCTAAATATTGAAGCTATGGCAATAGCTGAAAATGTAGAATATAGCCGTTCTAAGCTTATAGAGGACAATATGAGAAACATAGGACAGAAAAAAAAGAGTGTATTATAGTGCTGAGGAACAGAAGCTTTTGCTTTCTCTTCTTTCGTGGTTTTTGCGCTAGCTTTAGTCATGTGTTTTCACTGACGACACACAGTGAAAGTGCCTGTATTATGTGTGTGTGTGTGTTTTTTTTTTAAAAGAAAGGAGAGAGCGAGGAACTGAGAAAATGCAGTTAATAAATCTCAGCATAACATTTTGCATAAGTAATACTCCTATTATGTTTGATTTATTGTAGAAAGGAAAAAAAATGGTGTACAAATTAATACAATATGTTGTTGGCTTTACTGAATTTTGCACGTCTAATAGTTGCATAAAATATGTGGGAATTTGTGTTAAATATAATATAAAATAAAAATAACAACAACAACAATAGTAACCCAATTGAATTCCACAAGTACGATATGTGGAGGGTAAGTAGACTTTACCCCTATTTTGGGAAGATAAAGAGATTATTTTCGATATGCCCTCAATTCAAGAAAAAATAAAAAGAAATAATGGGAACAAGTAATATAAAAAAAATAGGCCAGAAGGATAGTAATAACAATCTCAAAGTCAAAAGTAGATGAAAAGAAGCGATAGCAACAACAAATAGTAACAACAACATGGTACTAAGAGACCTAAGCGGAAGAAAATAGGAAAACAACACGAAATGCTAGCAATCTAAGACCAAAAACTACCATACTAATCCTAATACCCTCGATCTGTTACAGAAATACAGTCGACTACCTACTAATATTTCACCCTAATTCTTGACCTTCACACCCTTCTATCAACGGTCATGTCCTTGGTAAGCTACAACCGCGTTATGTTCTGCCTGACCATCCCTCCTCAATACTTTTTAGGCCTCCCTTTACCTCTTCTCATACCCACCAAAACTAACTGCTCGCACCTCTTTAGTGGGGCACCCGAGCTTCTCCTCTTGACGTGCGAGAACCATCTCAGTCTTGCTTCCTTCATTTTGTCCTCCACGGGGGCCATGTCCAACTTAAGCCGGATATGCTTATTCCTAATTTTATCCAACCTGGTATGCCCACACATCCATCTCAATATACTCATCTCTGCTACTTTCTTCTTCTGGATATGAGAGTTCTTGACTGGCCAACATTATGTCCCAGACAACAAAGTCGGTCTAACCACCATTCTATAAAACATACCCTTAAATTTCGGCGGTACATTCTTATCACACAAGATGCCGGAAGCTGACCTCCATTTTATCAACCCCGCTCCAATACAATATGCAACATCTTTGTCAATCTCCTCATTCTTTTGGATAATAGACCCAAGATATTAACTTTCACTCTTGGGTATGACTTGTGAGTCGAGCCTCACATCCATGCATGCTTCATCTATCGCCTCACTAAACTTGCACTCCAAATATTCTATCTTTGTCCTACGCAACTTGAAACCCTTTGACTTCAGGGTCTATCTCTAAACCTCCAACATCTCGTTAACACCACCTCACGTCTCGTCAATCAGTACAATATCATCTGCGAACAACATATACCATGACACCTCCCCTTGAATGTGGTGCGTCAGTTGTCGCGCCCCTTTTTTTTCCTAAGCGAAAATCGGGTCTATGACATTTGGAGAGACAACTCATTCCTTTTGGGAACTGAGTTTGAATTTGGAGAGTCGCCACCTAATGATTAGGGTGCATTAGGACACCAAAAGAGTTCGATTTGAATAACCAGAGATAGGGTAAAGGTTTGAAATTATTCTAAGGGGAAGGTGTTAGACACCCCTCAGAATCTACTAGTGTGGTTCCCGGCCAGACAATTATTGTGAATTGAGGTGTAATTAACGTATAAGCAAATAAGGCTCAAATAATAGGGGATTTCAACACATAATGGTTTGAAAGTAAGCAAGTTTTGAAAGAACAATTAGAAAAGCTGATTTTTTTAGAATAAAGAGTTAAATTGCTAGAAGAATAAAGAATAAAGGAAAGGGGGTCATAGGTTTATTGAAAATATGGATCACCCCACAGAACGTCCGGCAATCACTCCTCAATGAGGGGCTACACGTGACATTATCGCGTGGTCATCATATCCATATCTACTGTTCCCACCCCGTTAAGGTATTAAAACGCGGATTGGTCTCGATTACTTATTGCATGCTATTAACCGTCCCATTCCTATCAATCCCGGAGGCACTTAGGACTACTAATCCTAAAAGGGAGGGATGCTGGGCTTATTTGAAGTTTCAAAGGTAAAAATTCTAAGGCGGCATACAAAAACACATATTGCATATAAAAGGGGAAACACATAAGCATATAGGCTCAAGTATACCTCCTCGAACAAACACATAAAGTAGCATGTCTTACACATACTGCTTAGGTCTAATTGAAAAGCATTAAAGACGAGGGAGATGAGATTGTTGAGGCAGTTTTAGTTTATTGCATAACTCAGATAAGAAGTCCAGATCAGGCCTGCCTGCTGGTTGTAGTGATTAACAGATTGAGTTTTACAGTTATTATTCTAAGGCTTGCCTAAGTGTTTATACGGGGTCCTATAGGCATTATATCTACCGAATTTAAAAGGTGATGAGATAGTAGAAGCTTGAAATAAATTATTCGAAATCCTATAAGCATGCTTGTTAAACCTTGTTAAGCGAGGTTATTAAGAGAAGCAGAATGAACAAAAAAACTAAACTGGTTATAGGTTCTGCAAGTGGTAATATCTACTGTTACTGACTTTAATTCCTAGGAGCATGTTATCTAACATTGACTGCGAATGAAAGCGAATCAGATTGATTTAAGAAACCCCTATAGGCATGATTTCTATGCATTACTCGTTTTAAACCTTATAGGTATGACATCTAAGTGAAGTTTGAATATGCAGAATTAAAAGTACCCTATAGGCAGGTTTTCTACATAAAGTTGAATATGCAGAATTAAAAGTACCATATAGGCAAGTTTTCTACGTGAAGTTAAAAAAATATCCTATAGGCATGGTCTCTAGGTGAAGTTCGAATATGCAGGAGTTAAAACACATATAGGCATGTTTTCTATCCTTGCATGCACAGTTACCCACCCTTTTCACTATCCAGCCCCAAGTATTTATTGCAACTTATTATAAACCAGAATAACAAACTACATCAGAACAGAAAAATACAAAGAAAGTACAACCAGAGGAGGCCTAATTCTTGACTTCCTCTCTGAGTTACGGGATAAACCAACTCAAAGACCATTGATCCAAAGCCTTTCTCCAATTTGAGTATGTCAGAGTTCCCTAAGAGACTCAATGGGACTCGGGACAGTGCTCACACCCAAATTGTATTACCAAAATAGGGACAAGTACAATATGGAAGTGCCAGCCCTTAAGTGTCCAAGTTCAGAGGGAGCTCATGGGTCCCAAGGCAAGGCTCACAAGAAGGGGGCAGAACTTAAGTCTAAGAGAGAGTGGAAGTGCAGAAACAAAATTTTAAGAACTAAGGAAGTAAAGGGGAGGAAAGAGGTGCTGGGAAACAGTTACAAAATTGATAACTTCACATAAAAGGGGTTCAGGGATTGGGAGCTTGCAAAGAGCCTATGTACTTAGGCACTAGTTAATTTTGGGCATGCACATCAATAGGGAGTGTTGTTATGCTTACAAAATCAACTAGAATACACAACATATAGTGGTAACATAGAGGTTTGAGTCATCGACAACAATACTCAATACTGTCATGCCTCAAACAAGCCATCAGTACCAAACACATTGGGGTAGGGGTTTAGGATACATCATAAATTTAGAACAGGCAGAATTGCTAAAATAAGTACTGAATTAAACACAAGCAGTAGGCAGACAAACAGGTAAAAGGATTAAGTAAACATATTGTTGTGACACTGAAATCATAATCAGAACATACCAGTTCAGAGAAGCAAAATATAGTAAAGGTAGGTAGCAGAACTTTGAAAACAGGCCACATTACAAGTAGTAAAGCAGAAGAGAGTGTTTTTTGAGTGTAAGTGATTTTAGAACTCAGAGTGTTCGTGTGTGTCTGTGTCAATGAAAGAGCAGGTTATTTATAGTTTGAAAATAAGTAGAAAATAAGGCAAGAATCATAGCTTAGCAATAATTATGGAACTATGTACCAATTAAAATCAAATCAGTATAAGGACTTCCTTTAATTAAGGAGTTGAAATCAAACAGTAATGGGCAGAAAACATTTAAGGAAGGAAATCAAGTAAACATAAGGTGCAAAGTAGATAATTAGTGGTAAGTGCATAGAGGTTTTAATTAAGGGAAGAATCTTTGAAATACTCGGTTAGCCAAATAAGGTAAGAAAACAAAATAAAGTTGCAGCATATGAGACAATCGAAAATCAGTACATAGCAAATCAGGGAGTCAAGGATTTCAAAATCACTGATTTAAGGAGAGTGACATGAGTTCCCATGAATAAACAAATAAACCAAGTCAAAAATGGGAGAATTGAAAGTCTAAGGAAAGTTTTCAAATAAACCCAAGAAACAGAGGAATCAGTAAGGCGAAACAAGGAAAGAGCCAATCACTTAACACATGAATACAATCAAAATTACATAAGGAGGTTTGAAATCAGTCCAAAATTGAAGGTCATTTCAGAGGGAAATTCAGCATATAAAAGAGTGCATAAGTATTAGGCATGTAAGGATGAATTTAGGACAAAGAGAAGCGTCATGCAATCACGAAGCCAGTAAATAGTGGACTATCGAAACATGGTAGTCACATAGGTCAATCTTAGTAACTCAGTAATAGAGAAAAGAGAGAGTATCAAATAGCATGCAAAGGGGGTCAAGTAAAAAGACTTTTCTGAAAACTGTAGTCTAGTTTCAAGGAAGTCAAAATCATATAAAAAACAGAGGATAAAACAAAAAGATTTTGAATCTAGTCGAGCAACAGATGAGGCAGCTTCAGAAGCTCGAATAGGTCCAAAGAAGATAGGGTTTTGAAATCAATCGAATTCGGAGCATGACGACCAAGTAAATCACATAGCAAATAGCCTCAGAACTCGACTGAACCCCAGATTTTAGGGTTTTCACCATCAATCGAGTTCTAGAGATGAAAATGAGTAAATCAGACAAATACTAACAAAAGTAGATTCAGAAACCTCAAAAGAAACTAAGACTTTTAACATGTAAACTCCAGTAGAAG